TGTTATTACCTTTCTACAGGGTTATTACTATTTTCTAGATCAGTTCTCATTCAGCACATGACCGCATAATCATCAATAACTCCTGAAGGTTACTACCGTTCGATTCATTCAAAAAATGTCTTGGCCTCGTCGATCGCTATATTTAGCTTCGGACGAACAGGAGCTTGTCAGTCATCGATCAAGACTTACCCTTAGTACAAACACGTACAAACACGGCAAAATGTACAAGTTCATCGTGGCATTGGTGCTGTTCGCTTGCTTTTTCTACGTCCGGGCGCAGAGTAAGTTGGTGGGTTACGGTTATTATTGTTATTATTGTTTTGGGGTTTAGGTGACGACAGGGGGCCGGTGTTGTTCCCCACGGTGAGGGAGAATGTGGTGCAGCAACCAATGGTACAGATGATGGTAGATCCAAGACCTGAAAGCAACTTCTATTAGTGTGTTCATGTTGTATTTACGTAAATATAGGTTAAATTTTATAAAGTTATTTACTCCTGTATGTGTGGTTTATGAATCCGCCTGCTACCCGTCGCGACTGAAAAGAGCAAAATTTTTGGATGTCTCGAAAGAAAATAATAAAATAATGCCGCCGCTGATCTTTATCCTGCGTCTGACCCACATCCTCCGCTTCTTACGTCGGCTATTAAATTATAAGGGAGCAACCGTGCGGCAAACTGTTAATTAAATCAGCTCTTAATTGCAGCCTCGCACCGACAGTAGAACGGACTAAGGCAAAGGAAGAGCAACTTGTCAGTAATTATTAATTAACAGCACGAGCTTTCAGGCAGCTTTCTAAGCTTTTACCGGCTTCTCCAAGCTTTACGTCTCGTACAGAGCGGAATATGTTTATATGGTGCGAACGCGATTCTCGACCCTATGTGCTTGGACGTAGGGGTCATCCGGGCCGTGCCTCGCGCGAATAGGGGTTATATTTCAAAGCCTCCTGCAATATACTATAAAGATTTCGAACAATTTCTCATTAAGGCGCAATGAGCTACTGATTGTCATTTATTTGCGCGCTACGCAATTGTGAGGCCTCTCGTCTGCCGCCGCCCCACACGTATTCAAACGCGTCAAATAAATGACTACAATTATTCGTTTCTTTGGCGGCGGCGGCGCCCGCCCCCGGCCGCAGGTCGCATCGTGTTACGTACGAAAGAAATTGTAGGAGAGTGCTGCCGATGCGAATCACGGCGACGTGATTATGGCGCGATTTGGCCAATGGAAGTGGCCGCAGGACCGGTCACGTGACGCCGATACGCACTTCCGGTCAATCGGGCCGATTATTTTAATTGCGAGTGTTGCGGCAAAAACGGGACTTTTCGGAAATTGGGCCATTAGGGCGGGATAACGTCGTCGCAGAAGGGGAAATGTTTAGGATGTTTCTCAAAACGTGTAATAGCCAACTCTGAATCAAAATATTTTTACTGAACGTAAGCTAAGGAAGTGTTGTAATCGAGTCCAGTGGACGACGGACTGCTTTTATATTGTCACGACGTGTCATGATCCCTAGAGTACGAAAAAATAGGTCTCCGTTTCCATCTGTCTGGATTTTTTAGACAGACAATCTCCGAAACTACTAGACCGATTGTTATCAAATTTTACCACAATTTGGCTAAACGTCTCCACCAACAATAAATAGAATGACGTCATCTCGACAATTTATAATATATATTATATATTTTAGAGAATATCTACACGTTTCCCGTTGGTTTTCTGGTTAAAATACAGTAGGGGCCAGAAAATCTTGGAGGTCATTTTTCTGTCATCCCAAAAATTTTTAAGTACCTAGTATTTGTATTTTATAATATTTTAAATAAGCCAGATTTGTTGGACTAAACTTCAAGAGCTAAGGAATTTCTGTAGAAATGAAATCGATTTCGAAATTTTTTTAAAGATGGTGAAACTTACTCAGAGGCCTCAGTTGTATTTTTTTATTTTAAACGAATTGAAATCTTCCTTGAACAATTCAAAACTTCAAAAATTGACGAAATGAATCATTGAATAATCGAGAAACTGAAAAATCGATCAAATTCAAAAAAGAAAAACTCAAAATGCCCAATTATGGGAAGATCAAAAAATCGAAAAATTGGAAAATTTAAAACTTTAAATTCAAAATTTCACAATAAAAAAGACAATTTTATTCGATAAATCAAAAATTAGAAAATGAATCCAAAATTTTGTGCTGAAAAAAAGAAAGACTAAAAATCGGCAAAAAGATCGATATTTTGAATAATTAAAAATCTACAAATTTAAAAATCAAAAAATTTCAGAATCTAGTAATAAAAATATCAAAAAATTATAAAATCGAAAAATTTATAAATAAAACAACTTCAAAAATTGTCGAAATGAATAACAGAAAAATTAAGAAACTGAAAATTCGATACCAGTGAAAAAACAAAAAATTAAAACTTCCAGTATTCGAAAAATCAAAAAATAGCAAATTTGAAAAATTTTAATATACATTTAAATTCTAAAATTGCAAATACAAAAAAAAATCTCAAAATTAGAAAATCTATAAATTGTAAAACTGAAAAAATAAAAAAAGAGAAATTATGAATCGAGAAATTAAAAAAAAAAAAAATTAAAAATCGCAAAAATTGGAAAATCGAAAAATTCAAAACTTGAAATTGAAAAGCTGCGAATCAAAAAATAGTAAAATAACACTCAAAAAAGTAAAAAATTGAAAAATGTTTTTAATGAAAAAACAAAATTGAAAATTCGAAAAATTAAAACTTACAAATTATAGGATTCAATTTCTTCAGTCTCTTTAATTAAAAATCTAAAAATTGATGAAAAATCAAGAAAATGAAAAATCGATAAAACTCAAAAAAACAAAAACTTGAAATGTCCAATAATCGGAAAATCAAAAAAATCGAAAAATTCGAAAATTTAGAACTTTAAATTCAAAATTTGTAAATCCAAAAATTTCAAACTAAAAAAAAGACTTGCACAAGGAAAAATCAAAATAAAAATTCAAAAACTAAAAAATCGAAAAATGGATTTATTGAAAAATCATAAAATTGACAATTTGAAAAATTAAAATCTAAACATTAAAGGATTAACAAACTGAAAAATTGGGGAACTTGAAACTGAAAAATTGCGAAAATCGAAATATAATTTTCAAAATGTTTCCAAAAAAATGACTAAAATGATGTTTTGGAAAAGCTTTGGGATTTTTTGACTATCTTCGGTACTTAACTAAAGACATTTTCTTTCATATTTCGAATTCCAGGAGTTATTCCGGGCTCATTTTTTCCATAACACCTACCGCTTTTCCAGAATCGCCCATAGAAATGAGCAGTTTTTCGAATTTTTTTTTTTTTTAAAATTGCATTCCAAACCGCATATTTCTAAAGTCTTGCCCCGATAATACAAGAGTAATAAGTAATATTTTTAAAATCAGGACGTCGAAGTCTATATTCTAGAACTTATTTAAGATTTTTAGACAATTTTTTAAAATCCCGAGTTTTTCAATCACGAAAGTTTTGGCATTTTTCAGTCACCTTCGAAGATTAACTATAGGCATTTTCTTCTACATTTCGATCTCCTGAAGTTACTTTCGACTTCATTTTTTGGATAATTCCTACCATTTTTCAAGAATGGCCCATTGAAATTGGACAAGTTTATGGATTTCTTTTAAAAAACTGCATTTTTAACTACAACTTTTTTAAAAATGTAAAACCTTGTCGGGGACGCTAAATATCTTTTTTTAAGACTGCGGAACCTTCTCGGGGGTCTAAAATGTCTTTATTTAAGAATGTGAAACCTTCTCGGGAATCCCAACTGTCTTTTTTAAAAAATGTAAAACTTTCTCGGGGACGCCAAATCTGTTTTTTTAAGACTGTGAAACCTTTTCAGGGGCCCCAAAGGTCTTCTTTAAAAATGTAAAACCTTCTCGGGGTCGCCAAATGGAATTTTTTAGGATGTGAAACTTTCTCGGGGGTCCCAACTGTCTTTTTTAAAAATGTAAAACCTTGTCGGGGACGCTAAATGTTTTTTTTAAGACTGCGAAACCTTCTCGGGGGTCCCAACTGTCTTTTTTAAAAATGTAAAACCTTCTCGGGGGCGCCAAATCTCTTTTTTTAAGACTGTGAAACCTTCTCAGGGGTCCCAACGGTCTTTTTTAAAAATGTAAAACTTGTCGGGGACGCTAAATGTCTTTTTTTAAGACTGCGAAACCTTCTCGGGGGTCCCAACTGTCTTTTTTAAAAATGTAAAACCTTCTCAGGGACGCTAAATGTCTTTTTTTAAGACTGCGGAACCTTCTCGGGGGTTCCAAACCGCCTTTTTGTAAGCATCTGAAACCTTCTCAGGGATCGCAACTGTCTTTTTAAAAATGTAAAACCTTCTCGGGGGCGCCAAATCTCTTTTTTTATGACTGTGAAACCTTCTCAGGGGTCCCAACGAGCTTTTTTAAAAATGTAAAACCTTCTCGTGGGCGCCAAATGCCATTTTTAAGGTTGTGAAACCTTCTCGGGGGTCCCAACTGTCTTTTTGTAAGAATGTGAAACCTTCCCAGGGGTCCCAACTGTCTTTTTGTAAGAATGTGAAACCTTCTCAGGGGTCTCAACTGTGTTTATTAAGGTTCTAAAACCTTCTCGGGGACCCTAACTGTCTATTTCTAAATAAGGTGAAACCTTCTCAGGAGTTCCAGCTATCTTTTTTAAGGTTATAAAACCTTTTGCGGGTCCCAAACTGTCCTTAAAAAAAAAACCTCGTGGGCCCTAATTGTCTTTTTAGGGAAGATGAAACCTTCTCAGGGGTCCCAACTGTCTTTTTCAATATGTATTGTAAAACCTTCTCGGGGAACCCAACTGTCATTTTTTAAACAAAGTGAAACCTTCTCAGGGGTTCCAATTAACTTTTTTAAAATTATAAAATCTTCTCGGGTCCCAAACTCTTTCTTTAAGAAAAAAAATCGATAACTTCATTCCAGATTTGTGAAGACTTTTTGTAGAAACTGAAAGACGGAGATTGAAAATATAAACGATAAAATATAGAATTATAAGTTTTTTATTTTTGTTGTGGTTTAATTAGCGCCACGTTTAATTGGGTGGAAACGTAACAGGACCTGTGTTGTTAACGTTATCTAAAAAAACATCTTTAAATATAATTCGTATTAAAATTATTTGCCAAAAAACCTTACCTTGTGCGACAACTTGGCCCCACAGCATGGCCAAGACCAACACAAAAATGGCAAAAACCCTAAATTTTAGCGACATATTCAATTGTTCACCCATCAACCTACTTTTAACTTTGCGACATAAACTATAAACGTTTAAAACCCTCGCCTCCTTTTATCATAACGTCAATAAATAAAACCTCCATAAAAATAAATTCTGTGTCAACTCCAAACATTACCACCAATTAAAACCAAATAATTCATTGTTCAACCATGCAAAAAACCCAATAAAACAAAACAATACACCATAAACGAACCCCCTCCATTATGCAAACATTTGACTGTATATTTCCAGGCAACTTTCCACCATTTTATTGTTCTATTTTCGTACATTGTCATCACCCTCTGCGCGATTTATGCCCTCCACATCTTTAATTTTTCCCTCTATATGAAGCGAGCGGGGGCGGCCGCGGCGGCGGCGTATTTATATTTCGGTTCGCTGGGGCGGCCTGCTGAGAACATCTGTCGCTAGTCGGAGCAGCTGTCGTCGACACCGCGTTAAGGCGTTGCGCCCCGCCGCCACCACCGACCGCCGCCGCCTGGGATCACGACACCGCCAACGCCACCCCTTCATGGCCACCTCAGACCCAGATATGAACCCGAGCAGCCGCGATACCACTCCACAGACTCACCCGGAATGATAGAGCGCCCGGAAATTGGGTCAATAAACTGAGAAAGTGAACGGAAATGGGACGCAGGGGGGAAGGAGCTTTTTGAATATGTAATGTGAGCGATGGATAATGGGGCGCACTTAACGAATGGCGGCGGTGGATTTTTTTGACTTCGGAACTAGCGAACCGATTACTTGAACTGATCAATTTTTTTAATAATCATAATACGAAGGAGGATAAGTCGGAAATGCGACGTCGTTTGTGCTAGAAAAACCAAGAACTTTCGTTGTCCAAAGTGAAAAAAAATAGTCGAAAGTTATTTCGACAGAATTTCTCTTGCCCCTGAAGTACAGTCCAACTAATCCTACCTCTCTGAAAATTTATAAAATTTGTTTTTCCTTTTTTTATATATTGATATATTCTTTTTGGAGTAAAAAGTCATAGTGTAAGAAAAATGAAAGGTTTCAACTTAGAAAAAAAATGACAGTTTGGACTCCCAGAAAGTTTCACGTTCTTTAAAAAAGACAATAGGCCCCCCTGAGAAGGTTTCACCCTAATTACAAAAAACAATTGAGACAACCGAGAAGGTCTCATCTATTTCGAAAAGGACAATTGAGGCCCCTGAGAAGGCTTCTTTTTCGTAAAAAAAGCAGTCTGCAACGCGAGAAAAAATATTTGGAATCTCCGAGAAAGTTTCATCGTCTTTAAAAAAAAAAAAACAATTGGGACTCCCGAGAAGGTTTTATATTCTTAAAAAAAAAGACAATTGGTACCCCCGAGAAGGTTTCATCTGTTTCAAAAAGGACAATTGGAGCACTGAGAAGGTTTTTTTTCTTAAAAAAAGACACTTTGGGTCCCCGAGAAGGTTTCCTTTTCAAAAAAAAAACTCACTTTGGGTCCCCGAGAAGGTTTCATCTGCTTCAAAAAGAACAATTGGAGCCACTGAGAAGGTTACTTTTTCTTAAAAAAAAAAAAACACTGGTTACCCGAGAAGGTTTAACTATCTTAAATATAGTTGGGACCCCCGAGAAGGTTTCATCTTCTTTAAAAAGAACAATTGGAGCCCCTGAGAAGGTTACTTTTTCTTAAAAGAAGACACTTTGTTTCCCCGAGAAGGTTTCCTTTTCATAAAAAAAAAACTCACTTTGGGTCCCCGAGAAGGTTTCATCTGCTTCAAAACGAACAATTGGAGCCCCTGAGAAGGTTACTTTTTCTTAAAAAAACACACCTTGGGTCCCCGAGAAGGTTTCATCTGCTTTAAAAAGGACAATTGGAGACCCTGAGAAGGTTACTTTTTCTTAAAAAAAAGACACTTTGGGTCCCCGAGAAGGTTTACTTTTCATAAAAAAAACTCACTTTGGGCCCCCGAGAAGGTTACTTTTTCTTAAAAAAAGACACTTTGGGTCCTCGAGAAGGTTTCTTTTTCATAAAAAAAAGTCACTTTGGGCCCCCGAGAAGGTTTCATCTGCTTCAAAAAGGACAATTGGAGCCACTAAGAAGGTTTCTTTTTCTTAAAAAAAAAAAAAAAACACTGGTTACCCGAGAAGGTTTTACTATCTTAAATATAGTTGGGACCCCGAGAAGGTTTCATCTTTTAAAAAGAACAATTGGAGCGCCTGAGAAGGTTACTTTTTCTTAAAAGAAGACACTTTTTTCCCCGAGAAGGTTTCGTTTTCATAAAAAAAACACACTTTGGGCCCCCGAGAAGGTCTCATCTATTTCAAAAAGGACAATTGGAGCCACTGAAAAGGTTTTTTTTTCTTAAAAATAGACACTTTGGGTCCCCGAGAAGCTTTCTTTTTCATAAAAAAAACTCACTTTGGGTCCCCGAGAACGTTTCATCTGCTTCAAAAAGAACAATTGGAGCCCCTGAGAAGGTTACTTTTTCTTAAGAAAACACACTTTGGGTCCCCGAGGAGGTTTCATCTGCTTCAAAAAGGACAATTGGAGACCCTGAGAAGGTTACTTTTTCTTAAAAAAACACACTTTGGGTGCCGGAGAAGGTTTCATCTGCTTCAAAAAGGACAATTGGAGAACCTGAGAAGGTTACTTTTTCTTAAAAAAAAAAAAAAACACTTTGGGTCCTTGAGAAGGATTTCTTTTCATAAAAAAAAACTCACTTGATGCCCCCGAGAAGGTTACTTTTTCTTAAAAAAAGACACTTTGGGTCCTCGAGAAGGTTTCCTTTTTATTAAAAAAAGTCACTTTGGGCCCCCGAGAAGGTTTCATCTGCTTCAAAAAGGACAATTGGAAGCCACTGAGGTTTCTTTTTCTTAAAAAAAAAATACTGGTTACCCGAGAAGGTTTTACTATCTTAAATATAGTTGGGACCCCGAGAAGGTTTCATCTTTTAAAAAGAACAATTGGAGCGCCTGAGAAGGTTACTTTTTCTTAAAAGAAGACACTTTTTTCCCCGAGAAGGTTTCGTTTTCATAAAAAAAACTCACTTTGGGCCCCCGAAAAGGTCTCATCTGTTTCAAAAAGGACAATTGGAGCCACTGAAAAGGTTTTTTTTTCTTAAAAAAAGACACTTTGGGTCCCCGAGAAGGTTTCATCTGCTTCAAAACGAACAATTAGAGCCCCTGAGAAGGTTACTTTTTCTTAAAAAAACACACTTTGGGTCCCCGAGAAGGTTTCATCTGCTTCAAAAAGGACAATCGGAGACCCTGAGAAGGTTACTTTTTCTTAAAAAAAAGACACTTTGGGTCCCCGAAAAGGTTTCCTTTTCATAAAAAAACTCACTTTGGGCCCCCGAGACGGTTACTTTTTCTTGAAAAAAACACTTTGGGTCCTCGAGAAGGTTTCCTTTTCATAAAAAAAAGTCACTTTGGGCCCCCGAGAAGGTTTCATCTGCTTCAAAAAGGACAATTGGAGCCACTGAGAAGGTTTCTTTTTCTTAAAAAAAAAACACTGGTTACCCGAGAAGGTTTTACTATCTTAAATATAGTTGGGACCCCCGAGAAGGTTTCATCTTCTTTAAAAAGAACAGTTGGAGCCCCTGAGAAGGTTACTTTTTCTTAAAAGAAGACACTTTGTTTCCTCGAGAAGGTTGCCTTTTCATAAAAAAAAAACTCACTTTGGGTCCCCGAGAAGGTTTCATCTGTTTCAAAAAGGACAATTAGAGCCACTGAGAAGGTTATTTTTCTTAAAAAAAGACACTTTGGGTCCCCGAGGTTTCCTTTTCATAAAAAAAACTCACTTTGGGACCCCCGAGAAGGTTTCATCTTCTTTTAAAAGAACAATTGGAGCCCCTGAGAAGGTTACTTTTTCTTAAAAGAAGACACTTTGTTTCCCCGAGAAGGTTTCCTTTTCATAAAAAAAAAACTCACTTTGGGTCCCCGAGAAGGTTTCATCTGCTTCAAAACGAACAATTGGAGCCCCTGAGAAGGTTACTTTTTCTTAAAAAAACACACTTTGGGTCCCCGAGAAGGTTTCATCTGCTTTAAAAAGGACAATTGGAGACCCTGAGAAGGTTACTTTTTCTTAAAAAAAAGACACTTTGGGTCCCCGAGAAGGTTTCCTTTTCATAAAAAAAAAAACTCACTTTGGGCCCCCGAGAAGATTACTTTTTCTTAAAAAAAGACACTTTGGGTCCTCGAGAAGGTTTCCTTTTCATAAAAAAAAAACTCACTTTGGGGCCCCGAGAAGGTTTCATCGGTTTCAAAAAGGACAATTGGAGCCACTGAAAAGGTTTCTTTTTCTTATAAAACACAATTTGGGCTCCCGAGAAGGTTTCATCTTCTTTAAAAAGGACAATTGGAGCCCGTGAGAAGGTTTCTTTTTCTTAAAAAACACACTTTAAGCCCCGAAGAAGGTTTCACCCTCTTTAAAAAGAACAATTGGTGCACCTGAGAAGGTTTATTTTTCTTAAAAAGACAGTTTGGGTCCCCGAGAACGTTTTATCTTCTTTAAAAAGAACAATTGGGCCTCCTGAGAAGGTTTCTTTTTCTTAAAAAAAAGTCACTTTGGGCCCCCGAGAAGGTTTCATCTGCTTCAAAAAGGACAATTGGAGCCACTGAGAAGGTTTCTTTTTCTTAAAAAAAAAACATTGGTTACCCGAGAAGGTTTTACTATCTTAAATATAGTTGGGACCCCCGAGAAGGTTTCATCTTCTTTAAAAAGAACAATTGGAGCCCCTGAGAAGGTTACTTTTTCTTAAAAGAAGACACTTTGTTTCCTCGAGAAGGTTACCTTTTCATAAAAAAAAACTCACTTTGGGTCCCCGAGAAGGTTTCATCTGTTTCAAAAAGGACAATTAGAGCCACTGAGAAGGTTTTTTTTCTTAATAAAAGACACTTTGGTTCCCCGAGGTTTCCTTTTCATAAAAAAAACTCACTTTGGGTCCCCGAGAAGGTTTCATCTGCTTCAAAAAGAACAATTGGAGCCCCTGAGAGAGTTACTTTTTCTTAAAAAAACACACTTGGGTCCCCGAGAAGGTTTCATCTGCTTCAAAAAGGACAATTGGAGACCCTGAGAAAGTTACTTTTTCTTAAAAAAAAGACACTTTGGGTCCCCGAGAAGGTTTCCTTTTCATAAAAAAAA